GAGAGAGAGAGAGAGAGAGAGAGAGAGAGAGAGAGAGAGAGGTACTATTCGAATAGTACACACGTGCGTACTATTTGAACGTGCGTACTATTCGGATTTTCGGGAGCTACTTCAAAAAGTCGAGTTTTCCAGGGAAAGTTGAATAGTACATACGTGCGTTTTGTTCGGGGGAAGACTGTAGTGCACTAGTACCTTCGCCGCGTTGGAAAATAGCGGGCCTCAGGTGGGCCTCCGACCTTTTCGGATGGCCGAAACGAAACGACCGCCACCGATCAGATTTATCAATGGCAGCCGTCGTCCGGCCCGACCTCCGAACCTTCAGGAGTTTGGGAAAACTGCCAGTTTTCCCTAATTTCCCAACACTGGACGAGGTACTAGTGGTCCCTTCAGGCTATTGGTTGGTGTGGTGCTCCCCCGTACTTTGTACATAGACTAGAGAGAGGATGAGATAGATGCATACTACCAAGAAGATGAGATAGATGAGAGAAGAATATAGCTTACTTTTGGGAAAAGAAAATGGGGGTGGGCGGGGTGGGCTGGGGTGGGCTCAAAAAAAAATGGGGGTGGGCGGGGTGGGCTGGGGTGGGCTGGAAAAAGTTGGGGGTGGGCTGGGGTGAGAAAAAAAATGGGGGTAGTCACCACGAAAACTGGGGGTGGGGTGGCGTGAGTACCCCGACTCAGACCGTTTTCCCAGTCAGATGCATCCAGGGCCGAGATCCCAGTAGCAAAGAGGATAGGATTGAGCTCCGGAATCTGGACATGTTGTCAGCAGAGATGCAGAAAAGCAGTTCAATCTCGAATTTCTGCACCTCTTCGCCAACAGGTCTAGATTCAGGCGTTCAATCCAATCCTTGTTGCTAGTGGGACCTCGCCCCAGAAGAAAAAGGCGAAGAGGTCTCCCGGCCCCCTGGCTCGCTGTAGGTGCTGTGGCAGGGCTTGTAGCTGTTTTTTTCCCCCTCTTTTCTAATCAGATATTAAACTGATCAGAACAGATGCTGCACTTGATTTTTTATTTTTATTTTTTTAAATCAGATATTAAACTGATCGGAACAGATACTACACTTCATATTTTTTTAATTATTTTTTTCCCAAAGGGCGACCGCCATGAGATATCATCAAATCATTGAACTGACGGGCCCTCGATAATTCAGAAGTACGTAATTTTTTATTTTCATTTTCATTTTATTTTATTTTATTTTATTTTTAACCCAAAATTGCACTTTCATTAAGACTGCATCTGCATTCAAACTTGGTCTGCATTTATTTTAACAGTTCAGTTCATGGGTGTACTCACACTGGGACCTATAATCCCAAATTCCCCCCCAAAAAGGTAGAGGACGGGTCACACAGATTTGCCAAAGCCCTAAAATTAATGTACCATTCGTGTGCCCATTTGTCCGCGGCCTGTGTAGCCGCCCTGCAAGGGAATTTCCTGTTACATCTGGGGGCAAGGGAATTTGCTGTTACATCTGGGGCGAGGTCCCACTATCAAAGAGGATTGTATTGAATGCCTGCACCTGGACATGTTTTGGAAAAAGGTGCAGAAAATGGAGATTGAATTGCTTTTCAGACATTTTCAGACATTCTCAAGGATAGTGCGACAGGCTGGGGAACAGACGGGGACCACTGGTGCCCCCCAGTGGCCCTGCTGGGCCCCGGCCCAAGGCTTTGATTTGGAAAGTACAGGATAGTTGGCGATGGGACGCTGGACCCAGTTTCCAGCACGTTATCTCATGATTCCTCATGTTTTTTCCAAATGTAAGGGATGCTGGACTCGGTTTCCAGCAGGTGCTGCTCCCCACTAATAGATGGAGCCTGCCTGGGGGTGCTAGCGGTGGCTGCCTACACCAGCACCTCTAGCATCACCCAGGGCGTGTGAAAAAAAAAATAAAAAAAATAAAAATGGAATTGCTTTTCTGCACCTCTGCTTAAAACATGTCCAGATTCAGGAGCTTAATCCAATCCGCTTTGCTAGTGGGACCTTGCCCCTGGAGGTGACCGCAAATGCCCTATTTATTTATTTTAATATTTTTAGCATTGTCTTTGAGAATTGGTGAAACTTCGTTCACGCAAGTTCTTGCACAATTTGTGGATGGCCCCGTGTGACCAGCAAAGTACCAAATCGCCATTGCTCCAGACAGCCGCGACCTTGTCCCATCTGAAAAGAAGGTACAGCAGTGCAACTGCAACCATGCCCAAAACCTCAAATCGGAAAGAGTTCGGTGAATTTCAAAATAAGAGGAGGGACGTAGTCCGATGAAACTCTGTGCTACTAGGCATACTCGCTGTCCGGAGACGGCAGCGCTCCGCGTCAGCAGCGAGGGTGGGATTCGGGGTGTGGGGCGGAACGATATCTACTTCGACGATCCCTAGGTTCGACCATCGCCCTCAGCTCCGTCAAGGGGCTGTGAGCAGGGCGATTCCAACTCCTACAAAAGACATTCTACAACAGACAATCTATAAGAGTCAAGTAACAACGAGTGCAGTGTGAACATGGCGAAGGGAGAGAGAGTCTAGTACGGGACAGTGGGCACATCCAACAGCGGCACCTCTGGAGTCAGTGGGTGGGCAGCCGGTGGTGGTGGGACTGGTGTTGGGAGGAGCACGTGAGAACGACTGTTGACTATCTCAACTGGGAGGGTGAAGACCTGAAGCTCCACGGGCGGCGGCGCCACCAATTATGGGAGTGGGAGTTCCTCTGGTGGTGGTTGGAGCGTCTCCTTTGGAATCAAGGGTGCTGAGCATTAACCAAGCCACTCTCTAGCATGAAATATTTAGAGTGCATTAACCTAGCCATATTTTTTCGCTAAATACTCCTTGTGAGTGACTTACTTCACGACTGTCAGACACGATAATATCTGGAAATACTATCCCCCTCTTTCAACCTCTTCCTGCTATGTGCTTTGGTGTCACTGGCGGCAATCTTGATTGCATTTAGTCATTAGTATTCTATATCTGGGCATATGTTTCGTTTGGTGCACTCTTCCTTTGTTATTCTTATATGCAAACCCTCGTGTAGTGCAGGATTTTACTCATACTCTGCATTGGGTCGTAAGGTTGGATTTAGGCAACCCTCCATCCCTATTCCTATATCTGAGCCCTCGTATAACATAGTAATTCCAAAATTGCTCCTAACGCTTATCTCACCTAATCTAGAGGCTATTGCAAGGACTGCGGTTTCCCGGCTTTAGTTCAGGTTGGTAAATGTGGAAGGTTGGGCGTTGTTCGAGGCAACGGAACTATTGGAGGTGGTGGGAGACCTAATAGTTGTGGGAACGTTGCTGACCTACTAGGGCACGACTGAATAGCATTTAGCTGTTAAGAGAGCAAACTTGGGTTGTATCCATTGTGATCTAGGGTGCCTGGAAGATGGCAGTTCCTACAGAGGTCCAAGGGTGCAAGGTGGGAAACCTCGTCATGGCAACCCAGGCTCCCCACGGCTACTAGCTGCTCTGTCGGGCCAGTATTGGTGCTGTTGTCCTTCGGTGGAAATTACTCGATCTGCTGGCTGGGCGAATCCTTTTCTGGAACTTTCCAGATTCCTCTCTAGTTCACAGTCTATTATTTGGCCTTGTTCATTAGGGTTTAGTCATACCAAGACTATTATAATTTCAAAGGGCGGTTTGCCTTTTTCTGGCCACCTGCATAGGCTGGACTCATAGGCTTGCTTCAGATTTTTCGAACATGGATTTTGAATTGGTGACAGGTGTCAATTTAGACATTTGAGATTACAATCCCATAGGGATAGCTGGTTTCTCAGCTCTGGTGGTTCACACTCGGAAATGCATTTGGAATCGTTTTAGGTTGCTGGACAGGTATTCGCGCTTCAGGGGATTTTTTTTGAGAAGCTTCTTTGAGATAACAGAGTGAGGAAATGGGACACTGGATCCCGTTTCCACTTCTGCCGAAGCTGGGTAATGGCCCCAGTATGTTCATCCTGGTTGAACTGTGAGGTCCCCGGCCTCTTTTGAACTTCTGTTATTTGTAATAAGGTGACCAACTTCTCGAAAAAAAAAAAAAACACCTCAAATCTGCCCTTCCCAAATCCGCAAAAAAATTTGGGGTGGCAGTGTGAGTATGCCCTGAGCTAGGGCCGTTGGTCTACCGCAGCCAAAAGGCTGAGAAGGGTGCTGGACGCTGCTGTGTTCTTAATTAAATTTTTAAGAAAAATAAAAAGAAAGACTCGTGAGGTAAGCAGGTGGCCCGAATTTTGCCACGTGGCCGGCGTCTTCTTTGCATTGCATTCCATTTTCCCCCCACGATCGTTCCCGCGGGTATCGAACACGGGACCTCTCACCTTCATCCAAACATCTATAAGCTGACTGGAATATGTACAGCAGTTTTCCTTAGGTGAGTTACGTTCATGTCACCTTTTGAGTCTGGACTCAATGGGCAAAAAAAATACGCGTCGGCAAAGAAAAGCGCGCCGAGTTCGAAAAGGCGACGGAAGTACGGACGGCGAGTTGCAAAAGGCAACGGAAGTACGGACCGCGAGTTGGAAAAGCCAACGGAAGTACGGAAGTACGGACGGCGAGTTCGCAATTTAAGGCAACGGAAGTAGTGGTGCCAGACCCGGTGTCTCTTTTTTTTTTTTTTTTTTTTTTTTTTTTTTTTTTTTTTTTTTTTTTTTTTTTTTTTTTTTTTTGTGTGTGTGTGTGTGTGTGTGTGTGTATATACATCTATATGTGTATAAGAGACAGGAGAGAGAGAGAGTGCGTGTGTGTGTGTGTGTGTGTGTGTGTGAGAGNAAAGAAGAAAATGAAAATGGCCAACGGGTACCTTTGGACCGAAATCGCTTCGCTCATTATGCGTTGCCGCGTGCTTTCTTTGCCGATGCGAGTTTTTTTTTGCCTTGAGAGTTTCTTAAAACATGCCGCGTCCGCCGATGCGAGTTTCTTTTTTTTTCTGTGTCTCATCCGCGAAATTCTTTTGCTCTGTTTTGACGGCGAGCTGGGCTCATGGTGGCCAACGAAAGCGAACACGTGGCTCTGACTGAGGATGCGGACCACGTGGGCGCAAGAGTTTGACTCTTCGGATTGAATTGCCAGATACGGCCAAAAAAGGAAAAAAGAAAAGAAGGAAATTCCCGATTTTGGAATTATAATAATGATTGGTGTAGGAACAATGATTGGTGCCCGGTGCTTTAGCGCCGCACCGGGCTGTCCAATGATTGATGCGCTGACGTGGCACCTCCGTCCAGCCAACGACGGGCTACCGGTAGGATGGCAGACAGAAGCGATGCTGAGGATGTGTTCCAATCGGGATAGGGATGGGATGATGACAGATCGGAGGGGAAGGAGGACACGTGTCCTCCGATGGGATCGGTGGGATCGGGACATTGGGTCGCGGTCGCAGTGGACTGACGACAAGTGCTGCACGTCCTTGATGGGCCTCGTCGGACGAAGTGTCGTGCAAGCTGGAGGTCGTGCGGCGGTGAGCTGCTCGTGGAGCGGGTCGCCAGCGGCGACAGACCGGTCGCACGACGGTCATTGCGCGCCGGAACGGTTCGATTACGGCCTCCGGCAGAATGGCTATCCATCCTTCGTCTTCTTCCCGATAACGGTCATCGAGCGACCGGTCGCACGACGGTCTCAGGGCCGTCCACGTGGAAGCCGGATATACCTCACTGCTGACGTGGCAAGAGCCGCGGCTAGCGTTGAAGCCGGCCTTCCTCGTAGGATCACCAAGTGCCAAGCTGGCACTGACGAAGCATATTCCTCCTGCTCCTCCTCCTCCTCCCCCTCCCCCTCCCCCTCCTCCTCCTCCTTGATGGTGTCGTCATCATCCTCTTCAGCAGAGTCTGAACGGAGGAGGGAGGAGGAGGAAGGGGAGATGGAGGAGGGAAAGGAGGAGGAGGCGGGGGAGGAGGAAGGAGGAAGATTGCCTAAGGCGGAAGAGAGCAGTAGTGATGAGTCAAAGAGCGGGTTCTGGTACGAGACATTTGTTATGACCAGAGACCAGAAGCTTGAAAAATTGCGAAGGGATAGTGCGAGCGCGGGTCGTGTGCGGACATCTTTCGAAAACGCCTTCGCTTACACTTCCTGGATTGATGTGCACAGGGTGCTGGTGGAGCGGAAGCTGAAGAGCATACCTCCTGAACAAGCCATAAGGTTGACGGGGATGGGTAAATTGGGTGGTAAATTGGAAGCGGATAAATTGGATAAATTGGGTGGTAAATTGGAGGCGGATAAATTGGGTAAATTGGGTGGTAAATTGGAAGTGGAATTGGGCGGTGAATTGGAAGACGATAAATTGGGTAAATTGGGTAAATTGGAAGCGGATAAATTGGATGAACTGGGTGGTAAACTGGAAGTGGAAGTGGGTGGTAAATTGGAGGAGGATAAATTGGGTCAATCGGGTAAATTGGAGGCGGATAAATTGGAAGCGGATAAATTGGAATTGGAATCAGCAGTAGTAGGAGGTACTGCAGTATTACTGGACGTGAGAGAAAGTGTCGATTTCGCTAAGTTGCATGCGTCAGGTGCGAAGAACGCCCCCCTCTTCAGACTGATTGAAGGAAACAGTTTGCAAGCTAATATGAGAAGGCTTGGCTATGCGCTCATCACGGATTTCGCCGGTACAGAGCGCAATCCCCGTTTTGTGGATGAAGCTTTGGCAGCCGTTGATGGGGATAAAGAGCGTACGGTCATCGTAATGTGTTCTCGAGGGGGAAGCCTAGAGACGGTGGTGGAGAGAAAAGGGCCCAAGCCCAAGTCCTTTAAAGACCCCATGAGAGCATTTGGCATACAGTCAAGGTCTTTGAAGGCCTGCTATGAATTACAACAAGAGGGGTTTAAAAATGTGCTTCATCTTAAGGGGGGGCTCAGCAATTGGTCGTACGAGGGATTTCCAGTGGAGGGCACAAATACGTAGAGACCGTGGTGTCTCTATCACTTCTATCACTTTTTTTTTTTTTTTTTTTTTTTTTTTTTTT